GTTTCTCCCAAGCCTGTATCAGCCAAGCTGACCTCCTTCATGGCTTCATGGCTGGTTTACGTGTGGCCAAGGTTTGGCTAATTAATTGGGATTCAAATTGAGGGCACTCCCCAGTGCAATAAATGGGTAAGCAAACAAGGAAGCCTAAAAAGAAAAGGAAAAAAAATAGAGGGAAAAATGTTGGTGCATCTTGGAGTAAGTCACTTCCATCAGTTTTAATGTGTAAATGTGCTTTTTAACAACCCTTTTTTTTTTTTCTTGGTCTCTCATTAACCATATAGCAGCTCATTTAGCAGTCTTATTTATCTGAACAGCAAGACTCCTTAATGTATCAGAAAAATTACCAGTCTTGTGTGTTACCATAAATGAAAGCATCACTAAAGTCAATTGTTTGCTTTTCTGTGCTGAAATTAACTGGTGATACTATGTATGTGTGTGAATATCTGCTGCAGGAACTTTCAGTCGTGGCCTTTCTTCCTCCTCACTTTGCTATTCATTACATGCAACAAAAGTATGTGGGAAAGGAGCTGATGAGGTAACAGCAGGCAAACTAGTTTAAAAATCTATTATCATCTGGAAATTTACTCTCTGTATCACTCTAGGGGAATCTGCTAAAAGTTGTTCAGGTGGAGATAAGGAAGGATTTACGTAACTGTGCCTGAAAAAATGTATTTGAAAGAAATAAAATGTAATCGCAGAAAAGGCTGGGGAGGATGTATGCTAATTTCTTTGGGTTACATTATTCTGCTTTCCCATTCCCAGCATAAAAGATTTGGAGAAAAAGAAAGACAGATTTGCATGTTGTATTTTTTTATTTTTTTTATTTTTTAAATGGGGATAGGGCTTGCCAACAGAAACACGTTGCAGAAGTATCCGACTGCTGTGAAGTGAGCAGCATTCCTCAAGAGCCCTAGGTAAATCGAAGACTGAATCTGCTTTATTTGTTTCCTGATACTGCCCATCATGCACATTAAGTTTGTGTGAAGCAGTGTTCTTTAAGGAAATTTACTGTCTCCTCTTGGTTTAACCTAACCTCCTTAGTATTGCATCAGTATGATGCAGTTATTTGTGACAGTCTGCACAGGTTCATTGCAGGTACTTCTGAGTGAAAGTTTGTCATCGTGGTAGCTGAAACTTGGAATTCTACCTTACACTCCTTTTATGCTTGCAATTGTGTTTTCTAATGACGTTTAAAAATGCTGCAGTGGAAATTGGAAATAGTACCATTTTGTATGTTTTCTGGTTATAGCAGTCTCTTTGTACTGGGGCTGTGGATATTTTCCTGTGCTCAATGTGGTGAATACATCATCTCAGGTTACTTCATAGGCTGCTATAAGCAGATGCTGCTCCGAGTTGGCACCTTGCATCAACCCCCTCTTAAAATCTCCATTTAGGTGCTCTTTAAAAGTTTTAAAAGTTAAAGAATATGGATGAGTCATTAATAATAATTCTAATAATTATAATTATAACTAATAATTCTTTCTTTACTTGTCACAGCATATTTAAAGGAGAAAGATGCCAATTGTGAAAAGCGTGAGCAGAGCAGTGACCCAGCTGCTTCAAAGCCCTGGCTGTGGATGCGGGATATCCGTAGTGCCCGTCCGATGCCTTGGGATCTCGCCTCGCCAGGTGGCCTCTGATGCCAGCTTTCATTCGGTGTCTTTTTCCGAGTCAGAGCATCCTCGGGTGCTAATTACAGGTCAGGATTCCTGTCATAACAGTGTTCTTGCTCCAGCTTGTCCGTCAAGTTTCCCCTCTCCCTTACTTCCTCCCTAGTGGGAAGAATATGGAAATTGAGGGGAAGGGAACAGAAAAATCTGCCAAAATTTTCTGGAATGGTGATGAGCTTTCCCATATGATGCTATATAGCATCAGGATCCCCTGTAAACATTTGTACTATTTTTATTCCAGAAAGCTAAAACCAGTTCTTCAGTTGTGTCCTTGAAAATAATTCAAAAACCTTTTAACTCTCTGGGAAGAAGAGTACTCGGTTTTCCTGTATTTCATAATGGAACTCTGTATTTGGATATCGCTTTTTCTCTGATTAACGATTGCCCGTTGTCTTTTAGGGGGTCTTGGCCAGCTTGGGGTGGGACTCGCTAAGCTTCTGAGGTATGTCATGGTTCTGTGACCTGCTATTAGTGAGGAATGAGTTTGTGGGTGGTTTTTTTTTTCAATGCTTGGTTTTGTAAATACCAGATGGACTAACTTTGTTATTCCTGTGATTGGTTTAGGTATATTGGTGTACTTTCTGCATCTATTTTGGTCATGAGTCCCAAAATAACATGATTTTATGCAAGCGACACTGAGTTAGTTTGACTTTAAATGGAAGTATTCACAGTTTGAATCCTCAGAGTACCGCTCAGTTTTCTTTTTGTTTTTTCATAGTCCAGCAAAATACTGCTGGATTTGAGTGCTCAATAGAGAGGCAAATGTTGGAGTTTTAAACAGGCATTATGTGGCTGTGTGGAGAGGAAAAAAAAGTAAAATCAACTTAAAATTTATATAGTACTTTACTAAATACCTGATTGTTAGGCTTTACGACTTTTTTTTTTTTTTTAATCTATCAGAATTTCAGTTCAGTAGCTTCAGGAATAAGGTGTCATATTGAGTGGAGTTTAAAGATTAGGAGATCAGGATACAAGGTCTTGAATTTGTTGTGATTTGATGAAAGATGAATTAATTGCAGCAAGAAACATTCACAACTTTTGTCTGGTGTTTTTTTATTTTTTTGCGACTTTTGATTAGGAGATCAGGATACAAGGTCTTGAATTTGTTGTGATTTGGTGAAAGATGAATTAATTGCAGCAAAAAACATTCACAACTTTTGTCTGGTGGTTTTTCTTTTTTTGCGACTTTAGTGTTTTCAACCACTTCTAAGATATATTTAAGAATTCTGCAAATAACAGAAAGCTGGAATGAACTCCTGCTCCATCAAACTTGCTTTAATCTTGTGTTGATTAGAAGAGCACAAGTCAGAGATTACTCTGTCAGTGATATCTACTGTTTAAGTATTTTTCCTACTGAACTGAATAGCAGAATACAAAAAAGAAGATTGTGGACTAACTATACCATGTGTGTCTCTATTTTTTTTTCTTATACAGGAAACGTTTTGGAAAGAACAATGTGATCTTGTCTGACATTAGAAAGCCTGCAGATGATGTTTTCTATAGTGGTAAGTGACTTGGTTGAGCATATGGAAAAAATTTTGACCTTACCTCTGAGGTCAGTAAACAGATTATCAAAATCTAAATAATGTGTACATTAAATGAAATGCATTGCTATTCAAATCATTCAAAACTCCCAAATAGTTCATTTCTGCTTTGAAATCTTTCTAAAACATTGATTCCCTCTGTAGAACATTCCCTTTTCCTAAACATATATGTTTTTCTCTTTTACACTGTGTCTTTGCCATTTTATGTTGATCAAAATGAACACTAGAGTCAAGTTGGGCCTGGTTTTTATGCTTCTGCTGTAAAAACAGATGCATTTATTCTTTTAGGCTGAACAAACTGGAAATTAAATTTGTGCTTTTTTCTTTCTATGGAGAAAAAAAGTTATGATTTTCCATAGAGTAGTTTAGATTCTTATATTTTCATTAGAGTTATGAATGAGTTAGTTTTCTTCCTCTTCACCATTTAATAATATATTTGGATTTTTGATTAGTATAATAGCAAGCGTTCCCTGTTCTCATGCCGTTGACTGGAGGCAGAGCAGGGCAGGCAAGAGAGGGGAGGGGGAAAAAAGTGTTTAAATTAATCTGTTGTTGGGGTAAAGGTAACAGTTTGCCTTAGTTTCAGCTGTAACTGCTAATTGGTTAAGCATTGCCGTGGGAAGGTATGTGTTTTGTTGTGCAGTCAAATCTTGAATAGATATTTGGGCAAGAACCAACAAGCTGAGCTTCATCTTGAATTTTTCGTGACCTTCGTTCTTCTTGTCACTCATTTCCTATTGGTTCTGTTTCTTCTAGGTCCTTTTATCTATTCGGATATCTTGGACTACAAGAATTTGCGCGAGATAGTGGTGAATAACCGAATAACTTGGTTGTTCCATTATAGTGCTTTGCTCAGTGCTGCTGGAGAAGCAAACGTCCCTTTGGCCAGAGCTGTAAATATTACTGGTACGTGATTTCAGTGCTCGGCAACAGTGAGTTCAGTCCATGACTTCCACAGAAGCTTGAGGAAAATGCAATGTACATCCTGAAAAATCCTGTTTATTGTTCCAGGTTTACACAATGTTCTGGATATTGCAGCTGAGCATAATTTGCGACTCTTTGTTCCCAGCACTATTGGAGCCTTTGGACCCACCTCTCCTCGAGATCCGACTCCTGATCTCTGCATTCAGAGACCAAGGACAATCTATGGAGTCTCTAAGGTTCATGCTGAGCTCATGGGAGAAGTAAGTGGAAGAAGGGGCTGGCAGACATCATTCCCTTCCCTAGTCCTTTTGGTTTTGACTTCTCCACATCGCCTGGCATTGTAAATGGCATAGTATAAAAGAAAGCTTACAAAATTTAGTGAAAGATTACCAGAAAATGTGGACTTTTGCCCAACAAAATTACCTCCTCTCCTCCCTCCCCAAATAAGCCCCAAGATTGAAGCTGTAGCATTTTTTTATGTTCACAACTTATTATTTATTTCTTAAAATTATGAAATTATTAAAGCTAATACTTGATATCTACTTTCTTCTCCCTTTAATATTTCATGCAAGGAAAGGTCAGTTCTGGAGGTTCTATTACCCAGAAGTGTTTCAGAAGTTAGAACTTACCAATTTCTGGACACTAAATCTATTATTACAAGCTAATCTATATGAAGAATCCATAACTAAGTATGTGATTGTAAACTAGAAAAGTATGAGCAGAGAGCTTAAACAGTTTGCATGGAATGGGGACTCCCTAGCTGATAGTCCTGCTCTTTCACTCCCGTGATGGGAAGTTTTTAAAATGGGACGAGCAGATTTCTTTTGTGGGAACAAATTGCATGATTTAGTCTTGCAAAAACTGTAAAACTGTAAACTGTAAAACTGTTTCTCCCTTCCCCAGTACTACCATTACCGATATGGTCTAGACTTTCGATGCCTGAGGTATCCAGGAATTATATCTGCTGACTCTCAGCCTGGAGGGGGAACAACTAGTAAGTCACTTGCTTCTCTCAGTGCTATAAGAACAGCCAACACACAAACCATGTAATTGTTCTAATATGTTTGTAGAAATTTAGTTCTGGGCCGTATAGAGTAGCTGTTTCAATAGGAAATTGGGACAATACTTGTGTCCGCTCCCATCTTAGGACTTACTTTTATAGTCTTTACCTTTCAAGGTAATCAGAGAAAGTTTGGGTCAATTACAATCATTGAAATTATTTCCTTTGAAAAAGATCTTAAACTTCTGTTATTCTGCTGTAGTGTACAAATGCCAGAATAGCATCAGAGGCTTAAATTGGCATCCTATACTTTTGCAGTACAATTTAAATCATGCACAGCTTTTTCTGCTGAGTTATTAGACAGGAAACTTCAGAGATTGACTAGGACAGTTGGTATCTTAGTTGGCTGTCAGAAAATGAACAACAAATGGAGTCAAATGAGAACAAATGTCCATTATCTTTTTATGCAGATTATGCTGTCCAGATTTTCCACGATGCCATAAAAACTGGCAAATTCCAGTGCGACCTAAAGCCAGACACCCGTCTCCCCATGATGTATATTGATGACTGTCTGAAGGCGACTCTAGAGGTCATGGAGGCCCCTGCGGAGGCCCTGAGCATGAGGACGTACAACATCAGTGCCATGAGCTTCACTCCAGAAGAGCTGGCACAGGAGGTGCAGAAACACGTTCCTGAACTGCAGGTGACCTACAATGTGGATGCAGTCAGGCAGGCCATAGGTTAGTACCCTCTTTTTTGATGATCTTCTTTCCTTTTGAGACAGTTTTAATTACTGCTGCGAAGTTGAAGTTTCATTTTGATTCTGGAACCCTGCTTTGGTAGCTCACATGTCCAGTGATATCTTTAAGAGATCCTTCTTATGCCTCATGATTTTGTTGTTTCTTCTTTGTTTTTCCTGCAGCTGACAGCTGGCCAATGAACTTTGATGACAGCAATGCCAGGAAAGACTGGGGGTGGAAACATGATTACGACCTCCCTGAATTGGTGACTACCATGTTCAGCTTCCTTGGGTCTGACTCCAGGATTGCTCAAGCTAACTGAAATCCTTTGTAAGATGTTTCCAGATTTCCACTGAGAGGACCAGGAAGAAATGGCTAAATGAGCTTATAAACTTCTGAGTCTTAGAGCATGTCAATTGTCACTTTTCCATAAGTAGCAATAGAGTTGGGCAAAAAAATATTGTAGCTGGAATTTACTACTCTTAGGTAAGTTAGATAAAACAATCACTTGGTACTGTTTCCAACAATAGCACCAATGACAGACACGGAGATCTTGAACTTTCACATGTAAGTAGCTAGAAAAAAAGAAACCACATACTCCTGCCTGGTGACTTTTCCAATCATTTCCTTTGCCTGGTGGTCCTTTAGCAAACGACATGGGCAATATTGTCAAACTGACTGTTTTGGGCACATTATACAGAGTTAACGATATGTTTTTTGCTTCTTAGTGGAATTTACTAGATCATACTAGGACAGCATTATTTTTTCCTTTTTTGCCTACAGCTAAGAGATTAGAACTACTTCACGTTTCAAAATTGCAGGGATTGATGCAATTTTATTTTGAAAAGAAACTGTAGCTAATAGTTCCTATACACATACACACGCGATGCTATATAAACCTACACTTGTCTATTTGTAAGGCATACAATGTGGCATTATTCTTTTAATGTCTATAAATGTGAAGGAAATTAGGACTTGAATTCTCATTGTGCTTTAAAAATACCAGGATATACAAGCTAAGCTTTATCCTGTTTGAAAATGCTGCTGCCTTCAATTTAACCTCAGAGATAGGTTTGAAATCCTAAGAGTTGTTATGTACATGCAAATCCAGGGCATAATTCCAGGTTTAGGAATAGGGTTATTGTTAATTTTTGCCTTTGTTTTCCCAGTTGTTTGCCCTGCTAGCGTGGTCATACACTTCTTGGAACAAGTTTTGAAGGTGGTCTGATTAAGATAGACTTGCAGTAGAGTCATGGTGGCCTTTGAAATCATTCATGTTCACTACATTCACTGTATATGTTTTTCATGTGCGCTCTATGTGTATTTTTAGATATTATGTGTATGCAACTATTATATGTTTTAATTCTTTAGAGAGGAATCCAGAAGCTAAAACTGTATCTTCCTATATTTATTTATTTCAGTGTTTTAATGGCAGCCTTTTATGCCATTCTTGTCTGGATTCATCACATAAAACCAATCCGCAGACTGTTGACTTAATGTGAAAGATGGATTGTTGTTTAGAGCCAAGGGGCCTAAATTACTGATGTCCATCCACTCTCCTCCCTAGAGGACGATGGGAAGTTGTCAATCTTTTGCTACTAGTTTCTAGTTACAGTTAAGGACTATTCCACTGGTTTGAGTTTCATGTGCAGGAGGTTTAGGGATAAATAAGGAAGTCTTAGTAGATGCAGGTAAATGAGATATGGCTACTCAGAGGCTACTGCAGAGACTTGGAGAACAAGAAATAACGAACTAGAGATCCAGGAGAGCCATTTTATGTAAAATATCAATTTCTGTGGTGTAAATCTGGGCTATATTACTATTAGTGTAGTAATGTCATGCCTTGATAAATGGCATCTGGGAACTTTTAATTTCTTATTACTATTTTTTTCAAAGAAAAATATAATTCACTTTCAAAATAACTGGAAATTCCTTATGTGAAGTTATGTATATCTATTTTGGTCTTGCATACTTCAGGGGATCATGTGGGTGACATGTTCCATTTTGAAATATTTTCTTGCCTACATCTTGCTCACTGTGTTTTCTGTGAACAACTCTTCATTACTATTCTGTTAATCTCTCTATAACCCCTGCATGCCCTGATCTTTGCCTCTTTGTGAGGAAGTCCACTGCATTCTGTGTGGAATAGTCTTCTCATGAAAGTAACCCTCAGGTGATTACTCTGTGGTGAAACCCTGTTATTTTAAACATTTGTCGAGCTTTTATCTCTTGGTTTTGTATGTATCTTATACTGTTTGATCTGTTAAAGTATGGATTTCCCAGGTATTTAAGGTTAAAAACCTCAAGGGATGTGGCCCATGTTGAAACTTTTTTTACAGTGTTTACATTTCTTAAAAGATTTTTTTTAATGATGCCCACTGTGATAGCTCTCACATTGTTCAAATGTAGTATTTGGCCCAATGGGCCAGCAAAGTTGGTCTCAGTCACACCCTACAAGAAAAGACTGGCTCAGATTTGTTCTCTGCCCTGCCAAAACTGGATTATCTCCCACCAAGCTGTTGTTTGAGGCATCAAATGAAGGCTTTAATATGATCACAAATGTCTTGTCTATTCCAATCTTTTATGATTTACTGTCCTTATACACATACTCTCTCTATGTATATTGATGTGTATACACACACACACACTCTTTAAATATACTGTATATGCATAGAGTTGTTGATGGGACTGACTTCATTTCCTTGATTCAGACGAAGTTCCAGGTCTTCTCCTTTATTCTAGCTCAAAGCTGGGCTTAAGCAAAAATGTTCCTTCTGATACAAACTCTTCTTGGTTGTGGTGTTGCACAAAAGCTTTGAATAGGGTGTTGCAGTGAAGATGAAACACAAATCTATGGCATTTTGAACAAATCTTTTGCCAATAGTCACTGATTCCATTTAGAAGTAGCCATTTAAGGAAGTTCTGTTTTGCAAAGTATGAAATCAAACAACTGCCTTTTACAATATGGTTTGAGGTAAAGATATCATAGTGAAGGAATGTGATGAGATATGGGTACCTCGTCTAGTTCCTGTTTGAAATTCTAGTTTTCAGCCTCTCACCAAGGATACATGCATCTTCCCCTTTCCTTTCCAAATATTCCCCACAACCTCTGTGGCTTTGTTAAAAGTATTTTCTGCATTAGACCAATTTGAGGTGATACAAAATGTTTAACTTTTGCTACCACTGTGAAGTTCAATTTTTTGGGAAGAGACTTCTCATAACATTTGAGGGCTGTACCTGTTACATTACCTATTCAGTGAAAAAAGATTTTAAGAGTATTTTTTCAACTGTTGTTAGCTGTGGACAATGCCTACTTTAATAAAATCCTATACAGATATGTCCTGGTTTTGTTATCCTTGCTTAAAACAGTTAAGGACAATGATCCAAGGATGCTGCTTAGTGCTGGAGCCTCTTCCTGAGCTCCAGGAGTGAAACATGATGAGAGGCTTAAAGAAAGACTCAGGGATTCCAGAATGTTTGCCTGTGTGTTTAACTTTCTCCTGCTTCTTCCAGTTGGTCTTTCTTGCAAACAGTTGCTCAAAAGTACAGTGTGGTTTACCCTCTAATGTTTAGTGTGCTGCTAAACAGGTGTACAGGCTATGCTTGCAGATGGCAGCCATCCAAAAAGTACTGGGTTTCAACTATTTCACCGGTGCCTTCTAGTTTTCCTAATCCTTTCTCATGTAGGGAATGGAAATCCAGTTGCTCTGTCCTCGGCCTTATTTCCATCCCTCTTTTGATCAGCGTGTCCTTGACATTGCAAGAGAGGAGCAATGCTGTTCTAGCAGAATAGCTTCAGAAACCGCATGCCAAGGATTTGGAATTACGGGGCCTTCATTCCTTCTCTTTTGTGTAGATCTGGTTGTGCAACAGCTGAGTAACATTGATCCGAAGTTTGTACATGCACAAGTAAGAATGAGACACGTGTTCTCCGGTGTGTTCGTCCCCAAACTCATCATCACAGACCTACCCTGCCTCATAACTGGGTGATTAAACACTCCCTTCCCATTAAGCCAGGCCTTTCCCTCCTCCTACCCTTCTGCTTTCTAATGATGGGAATTTCTTGGGGTGGAGGAGGCCTTTCATTTAGCCACGATTTAAAGATTAGCGTAACCACTGTGTTTCTTGCAGAACAGTTGCAGATTTTAGAGCACCCTGTTCTCTCCAGCAGCTTCGTTTTGATAATTGGGTTTGACTCGTGTTGACACATGTCCAATTTGCTTCTGCAGGCACTTCAGGTGCTTGTGCCTCATCCAAAGCTGCTGTAGGCTGCGGAAGCATCTTCATTTCCTTCAAGGTTATTCATCAGACCCTGAAAAAAGCAACATTTAGCTCCACTTTTCAGCGATTAAGAATATTTGACTTAGTCATATTCATGCAGTGAAAACAGAAGCCTTCTACCATTTTTGCTCTTTATTTATTTCTTCCTTCTCCTAGTGATTTGCTTGGTGTCTCACTGATTTTTTTTTTTTTTGCCTTTGCTTCACTGGCGTGCCTGTTTAAAGAGGGAATTCAGGGATTTGAAGCAATGCTGACATCAGGGCACTGGGTAAACGTACACTGGAACGCTTTAAACTGAGGAGCTCTGTTCCTGCTTGCGCTGTGGCAGGTTTTGAGGTCAGTACCTGTGGCACTGGTCTGTCTGTGGCAACACACCATTAATACCTAGACTGCTGCCTAGGTAACCACTTTGCTTTTTGGAAGCCTTCTCGCTTCTCTCCTCAGCTTGAGCAGTGTCAGGCTGTGATCCGCTGCCTGCCCCTGGAAGCGGGACCCAGGGACGCGGTGACACGAGAGCTGCTGCTCGTCCCACGGGCGCCGCGTGGGGATCCGCACGTCTGGGCTGCCTGCGCCTCGCATCCATGAAGCCCCTGGCTTCTATTTTAGATCCGCGCTCGCTGGAGCCATGAACTCTGCCCTGGGGACCTCGGCCAAGTGCTCACCAGACCAGATGCTCCTCACGTTATCTGGGGCTCTGCACCGTAATCGTACGCGGTTCTAAATTCACCGCGGCTCCCCCGAGGAGGCCCGACGGGGGCTGATCCTGCTGCTATTTTCCCTTGCGGGGATTCACATCTCTTGTCCCTGGACCGCTGCGTGCACAAGTGTTACTTGCTCTTCAAGCCAGCCCCAGCTTCTGGGATAAAAGGGGGTGTTTGAAGATCACTGTAACCTCATCCAGCAGCAGGAAGCAGAGTCAACGCTCATGGATGACTTTTCCCCATGGAAATAGGGTCTGCTGAAAAGACACCTCAGCAGCGCGGTCGAGGACCTTAAATTTGAAGCAGGTGTTGAACAGCCAAGTTAGAAATTTACTTCCTGCACCTGAGATTGCACTGAAGAACAAATTGGGAAGGGTCCTGGGAACTGCTGGAGATATTCCCTGCTAAATGGCGCTCTGAGCAGAAGTGCTGCCCCTCTCACAAAAAAAAAAAAAAAAAAAAAATCCTGAATTCAATGGCATTTCATGTGGAAAATGTATAGGTTTCCTATAAATGACATTTTGGAGTGAAGTCAGAAATTTCCCGTATGCATTTTATTAGGACAGGATGTTCAGTTTTACTTTTCCAGAGCTGCCTTTTATCTTGAAA